CTTTTTTTTTTTTTTTTTTTTAGTTCAACTCTGACCAAAATGAGTACAAAACGTCCGAGAATTGGATCATAGTGGTCATTGTAGTCATCATCTGTATTGTTTTATTATATTATGCTATAATATTACTTTATCATGTAATCCATTTTAGAAAAACCATCAACACAGCATTTTTTAAATGTTAAAGAGGGGTGGGAATTACTCTTTTGATCATTGCTTTTCGCGTTTGTGCGTGGAAACTGCGCGCTACACAACGCGTGGCCGCACAGAGAAGTACAAGCTGCTGCTATTCCACTGCTGCCGAGCACTCAATAACATTGCCAACTGCAGCTACAATTACATCTTTATAAAAAGGGCTGTTGGGATCTCGAATCATTATTTTTACTCAAAAGAGTTACTCGATAAATCTATAAAGTCCAGCTATAGTCTGATCTCATCTTACTGCTGGTCTCTCCCTCTCTCTCCATTTGTAGGGTGGACATTCAAAACGAGGCATTATGACGTATCCGTTCAGGAATCACTTGCTTAGTGTATTTTTTTGCGCACGCGCATACACAAGTTCCTCCTTTATCCTCCTCATTCTCCTTGGTTCATCTCCATTTTATCCAATGGTGTCTTTCCACCGATAATAAGAACAGGCCCATGCAACAATAGGCCCAAAATAAAAAGGAATTAATGAAATCCTTACACAGACACATTCGTAGAGTTGTATAGCCCAAGTAGTCCTCCTACTTGATGTATTTTTTGATTATTATTATTATACAATATGTCTAAATGTCTCTTAGAATATCTGTTGGCGTGATCAAGTCATAGAAATGATGGAGATTACAATACAATCTAACTAACTTGTTAGCGGAGGTCGTCGTAGGGCTCTAGTTGGTAATCATTTCTGTCGTCTATTAAGTAGGATATCACAACATTAGCATCAATATCTTTCTCCTTTGTCAATGTAATTGACTATTCCCTTAATATCGTCATTTCTGGGGGTAGAAACTATCTCCTGGCTGACAGTATAAGCTCAAATACACAAACACACAAACACACAAATACACACGGATAAATAAAAGGGCATTTCCTTTTTTAATTCTTTTCCAGTGCTAATGCCGAGCTTATTTTGTTGCTCTTTAAAAAAAACCCCTCCCAAAAGTCCATATATTTACTTACCATCAGAGATTCGGCTCCACTTTCTAGTTTTCTGAGTATTCATCTTGCGCTTATAGAGTACTGTAGCAAGGTAAGCGACAACCAGGAGAGCAGCAATAGGAACGAGAATATGCCAGAACGAGAGTCCAGAACTAGTTTTGGTCTCAAGATGGAGTTGTTGGCAAGTTGTATTAAATGACATCTCACCATCCACATATTCACATCGAACTCCTGTCGTATTGGCGCCTGAGATGGGTGAGTTTTTTTCATTGAGACCAAGAGCGAGTGGATTGCACTGCCAAGATGATGTACAGCTTTGACCCAATACTGGTCGTGGTCTGCATTTCCCCATGACGCAAGCCAAGTTGGGTTCACAATTGGAGAAAAGAGTATACCAGATTGTCTTTGATTTGTCATATTGTGATATTAAAAGATCATCAGGTATGGTGTCCCGAATCAAATCATAAACCATCAAAGCCAATCCAGGTTTGTCTGCGCTTTTAGGCATCTGAAATAGAGTACAGTTGGCATCCAGCTCCGAGCGCTTTCCAGACCAGCTGGGTACTGATGGAACTCCAGAATCATTCCTTGAGAGAATGTAACCCCAATTGGTCTCCTTGTCCAAGCATACAAGTCCATCCTCGAGAACATAACATGCTTCATTGGGACCACAATATGGGAATTCCAAGCAAGTGACAGATCCTGGAGGTAGTGGATTAACAGCAGGACCTGGCGTTTTCACAGGTATTGATGGTGTCCCTACTGAATCTGTCGAGGTGACTGAGGCTGAGGCTGAATCCGAGGGCGAGGTAGAGATAGTTGTGGTAGTGAGCTGCGCTGATGATGATGTGGATGTCGATGACGATGTCGAGGTTGTAGATGTCGAACTTGATGATGTGGATGTTTGAGAATCAACTCCAGATTGAAAGCATAAAGTGATAATGAGGTATAACAGGGCCATGACCAGCATGGTGGTTTTCCTTGAATTGCGATTACTCATCGAGATGATAGTGGTGGATACTGAATTATGAGAAACTAAGAAATGTCAAACACTGGTTCATTAAGAGTTGTTCCTGTTCCTGTAATCAAGACCTCGAGAATGAACTACGGTGGAGGAGTAGAGAAGAAGAAAAAAAAGGAAAAAGGAAAAAGGTTGATGGCAAATGGAGGTAGGGGAAAGGTGATGATTGGAATGTAAAATAACCACTGACGGTAAAACTATGTTGTTTATTTAGGCCTGGTTTGGATGGGAATAATAGGTATCTATAGTTATAGTTTAAGGTATACACCTAACGGTGACATAGTTAAGGTTTTTCAGCAAGAGTCCTTATTATCAAACGGGGCATAATTTGTCCATCTATTGAAAATGGTTCACAAAGCAATACATACAACATAAAAAGCATACAATTATGCATAAAACTTTCTGCTATCTTACAAAGATACATTCCAAGGCTGCGCTTTCATCAACGTATATACACAGCTGACCCCTCGGTAGCTCTAATACCCTGCCTTCTAAGATACTTTGCTTGATTGGAACAAAGGTTTTAAAAGAACCAATGAAAATGACACCAGTGTAGGGTCTAGGAAAAAAAAAATCTGAAACAGAAAAATGCAAAAAGATATGGGCACAGTGGGATTCGAACCCACGCGTTCATAGGAACATTGCGTCTTAAGCACAACGCGATAGACCAGACTCCGCCATATGCCCCACGCCTTTCATAGTCTGAGACTCTGATTGGTTGGAAATGTCGTTTCATTCACTTGTCATATACTCAAACTCAATATTCAAGCCCCTTAACTTAAATTAGATAAATTAACAAAGCCCCTTAACTTATTATTGCTCAGAGTTTCAGACTTTATATTTAAGCCCCTTAAGCAAATGCGAAAATACCTTTGTATAAAAAAAGCAATTGCTGCGACGGCAAAAGAACACTGGAAAAGTGGCAGCACCCTTTAGGGTTCCAACTAGTTATGCGACACAGGATAAGGAACCAAGACAACCCAGCCATCATAGATGGGTGGGGACGCAGCACTGCTGTTTGTGGGAACAATTTAGCTGACCGCAAGTCTCTATCCCGATGTGGGCTTACTTGAATAATAATAAAAAAAAAAAGCAATTATGCAGTTGTACATGATCAAGTGCAAGATAGAAACCGGGAGGGTGGAAGTCAGTTGGGTGAGGTGACACAGTGATAACAAAGGTAACATACTAGCTGACAACATGGCAAAGGTGGCAGTAAAAGGTACCATGGGAAGTAGATATCAAGAGCCAAAAAGATATTCGACACCATGCACACTTCCAACACCCAACACAACTTGTTGAAATGGATCTCCAATAATTTCTTAAAAAGCAGACAACCATAAGAAACCATCAAGCATGGACAACACAAGGGCGGGCAAAAAGAGCCAATTTAAATGCAGAGGACATTGAATGGCGGTCAACTCTAGGACATATTCACGGCGAAAAGGCAGTGCATACATTTTATAGTAATTCCATGGACACACACAAACGGGTTCACCACATTAAGAAGATACATAGAATACTACCAACAATGGATGTTATGCTCGCAAGGCGCCCAGATTGATATGACGATAAAATTTGTCGAGTTTGTGACATCTAGGATGAGGACAATATGCACCTTTGGATATGCAGCGCCATCAAGCACATATACCAGGAAATATGGACCGAAGCGCTTGGTATGATGGATAGATGGGGGAAACAGGAAACTGCGAAATACAACAAAGAAGCAGTCAAGAGATATCAACTAGTAGTAGACAAAGAAAAGAACCCCGAGCCTTCTAGATTAGCAAGTTGGCTTACACATGATGTCTCATTGCACCACAATGGACATTTCCTGCATTGGTGGAACATAAATACTCTTGTTAGGGTAAAGTATTTATGATCGAGCTCCTAATCTGGTATAGAGCATTGCCGATTTATATCGTGGGATCACTCCTATATCATTGATGAATAAAGGGGGGGGGATATTAAAACACCTATGGCCATTGTTAGGAAGGTCATCCATTGTTCTGTTGGGTTTATAGAGAGTGAAGCATCCGAGGGGATTAGAAGACACGATGTTCAACTGCAGTGGAGGATGAGAAAGCTCAAGGTACCACAGCATGGCACAAGAAAGCCAAATATCAGGGACCAAGAGGAGAGTGGACTGATGGATGTAGGTACATAAACAGGGAAGGCCAATGTCCCTGTGGAAAATATACGGTCGAGCATGTGGTGGACAGTGCCCAGGACCGAATTAGACCCTCATGAGGCTGACTAGAAGCTACAACTGAGCCTGTTTGGAAAGAGGTGTTTAAACCAACTAATAGAAGGAATGAGAAAAATTCCTTTTTGTAACATGACTTTAACTCATTTACAAACTGATGAGGAGTGGTAATAGTTGCGCGATTTACTAGGTTTTTTGTCCCCTGGAACGCGACTAATTTTATGATGTTTGTGGGCCGCCATCTAGTGTGGTGTGCGCAGCTACTGGATCTTTACAGGTAGGTTCGATAGATTTGCAGTATTATTTAGTTAGGGAGACATATTGTTATAAAAAAAAGGGAAAGTGCCTCGCAAACGCTTGCGTTGCAACTATGTAAGTCTGTGGACTGTGATCCACCAAAAGTTCAGAGCAGACAAGGAACAGCAGAGGTCACTCGGGTTCGAGGACACAGTGATAATGTTGGAAACATAGAGGTAGACAGCGTTGCAACTACAGCAGTACGTAGAAACACAACTCCTTGGAGAGTTGATCCCAGTATGCAGCATGGTGTGAAGCATACTGCAACATTCAAAGGAGAGCTGACGTTGGAAGATCAAAAGGCCACAAGCCAGCTATCTGCGCACACTGCCTACAACTAAACACATGAAGCATCTAGTGCTGTTTTGAGTACCCGATCTCACTCCAAAGGTGTTTGGACATCCAAGGTGCTTCTCAGAAAGCTGCTGGTAGTGCCATTGGGACTTGCGGTTATGAAAGGGGAAGACGCGTCTGCCTTTGTAACTTGCGTGTTGACGATAAACTATAATTGTGCTTTGTTTACAATTTTGCACAGAAAAAAAAAAAAAAAAAATTGAAATGAGGTCAAGAGTAACAGTGTGAAGAAGACGCACTGACCAGGAATTGACTAAACACTAGGAATAGGATGTTTGCTGACCAATTCAATTAGCACATTGTCCGCCTCATAGGACAATTTTCCTTGTGAAA